GTCACTGTACATAAAGAATTTCTGGGAGCAATTTCTTACTCTGAAGCTAATATACAATTGATAAGACTGATCTAAAAGTAATGCAAATGTAAGTAAAATTATTTCACTTAATTATAATCAAAATCAACAGAGGCTAGGTTAAACAATGCAAATAAAGATTACTGAGTCCTACTTGTCTCTTCCAGCAAGACTAGCCCAGTGACTAAGCAACCTTTGAACATTTGCTTATTCATGCACTATGGACTGTGAAGAGATCCCCAATGCATGAAGACTTTTTGTGATATAAGTAATTATAGTATTAACAATAAACACATGTAAAGAAATGAACTCTCATATGTAATGAGTTTAGAGTATTGATAGTATTAAAAATAATTCCATGACCATTATTGAGCCTTTACTGTGTTAGAGACATTACACAGAAATTGTATGTATTAGGAATATTTAGTATTTCCATTTTGCAGATGAGAAAACAAGTACATAGCGATATTAAGCAATATGCTGAAAGTGGGCTATCTAATTACAAAGTTCTTAAGCAATATATCATGGTAGCACTTTAAACCACAAAATTAATGTCCTTGAGATACTGAGATTCTTAATTTACCACTATATTTACCAGATTATTTTGCACATGTTTAGGAAACAGCAAGTATCCGATTGGTAAATGAATTAGCAAACTAAAGCATGCACACCAAGGTGCCAACATAGGAACCGTATGGTAGATACAGCGCCAGGTCAAAAGAACTGAAGCCAAGATCCCAAACAGGGAGAAATGGCATATCAAGCTCACAGACAAAAGCAAACAAAAATGTGAATTTTTGCCATAAAATATATTCTCTTTTAGCCTCTGCAAACTTTATCCTGGGGAGGGGGCTAGGGTGGAGATCAATTTTTAATTAATTTATCATTATAAATTATATAATTAATTTACACTATTGTACGTAATTGGTCATTTTTCTTGGTATACTGTAGTTATTTCATATATAAAAGTGTCAGTTTAGAATCCAAATCTTAAAAAAAAAATCCAAATCTTTATTTACACAGAAAGCACCATAAAAATGCTACCCAGACTTTATAAACACTCTATTAAAACAGAAAAATATGGGCCAACAGCACTTAAAATATCAATAGCAAATGAATGAATACCAAATTAAATAACAGAATAAGAAAAATGAAAACAAAAATTAAGTAAAAATATTTGAGAAAGCATAATTAAAACAACTAAATGAGTAGTACATCAACTATTATGAACAGTAGAAGAAATTGAAAAGTAGAGTTTACAAAAGTAAAGTCAGCATTAATATATATAAGCAACTAACAAAATATAAAATGATCCATTTATAATAAAAACCAAAATAATAGAACACTTGGTGTTAATTGAATGACAAGATACAAGGTCTTATCAAGAAACAGAAAGCTCTGAGGACATAAAATACAAATATTTAACACAGTAAGCAAGTCAAACATTGACTCTGACATGCTGAGGAAGAAATATGTGTAATATAAATAATTAGAACACAATATTACCATCTAGAATATATAAACTAAGATAAGGAATCAAGGACTATGATTCAAAACACGTAATTTTAAAAACTCATAGCCTGCTGTAGAGTTGATTTTGACGTAGAAGGGCCCGAAAGGACAAGAGCAGCAATGCTCCATAGGGTTTCTGAGGCTGTAAGTAGACATTGAGGCGGACAGCCTCCTCTTTCTCCTATAGCACAGACAGTAGGTTTAAACCTGAGTTAGCACCCCAATATTGAACCTACTGCACCACCAGGTCCCTTCCAAATAGATGAAAGGCATTTTTCTTTTATCTCTCAGACTGACATTAATTTTGGTTTGTTATGAGTTCAGGCAGGTAAAAATTTATGGAAACAAACTTTTACAACAGTACAAGTGGGAATAAAAAACTGTCACAATATCTTGTTCCTGTTAGTTGCCATTGAGTCAATTCCGACTCATGGTGACCCAATGTGTTCACTACAGAACAGCTCCATGGGGTTTTCAAGCCTATGGTGTTTCAGTAGCATTTTAAAAGGTCTGTGCACCAAGGCACCTTGGGTAGATTCAAACCACCAACCTATTGATTGTCTAACCATCTGTATCACCCCAGAACTCCTATAGCCTCTTAGGACAACTCTACTCCAGCTAACAAGATGTCACAAACATGTAAGCGTTGGGCTGCTAACCACACGTTGGCGGTTCAAAACTACCAGATACACCATGGTCGAATGATGTAGCTATCTTACAGCCTCTGAAACCCTACAGAGGGCCATTGTAAGTCCAAATAGCATCAACATGTAACATGCACATGTCCACAATTCCAGTAACACCTACTGCACAATTATAGTTCCAAGAATTTATCCCTTATTTATCAATGAAAAAAACTGTCAAGCTGTATGTATAAGGATGTTTACAGTAGCATCATTTATAACATCTGTTCATATCAAGAACTAAAGAAACAGATCTAAAATACTAGAATCACCACTGAAATTCATTCTGACATTGCTATTGCAATTATTAGAAAAATCCTCCTCCTCTACCTTTATATATATTATGAATTTAACTCAGAATCTCTAAAGTTGTATCATAAAAGTGAGCAATATTTCTAAAAGAACTATGATTCATTTTCATAAAGACTGAATTCCACTCTAAACCAAACACCATAAAATCAAAGACTCAATATTTAAAATGTATATATATTTTTTCATTTAGGAAAGTATTCTTGGCATACAACATGTATTTCATGCAATCTCCGATGATTTACTCTCTTGAAAAACGTTCAGAGTATATGAGATATATCACTCACACATGCACATACCTCAAACTTGCCACTCTTTCATTTGTAACACTCAATTCGCTAAATGTTTTATTTATTTATTTTTCCCAATGAGTTGCAACATTAATTTTTCAGGATTTACTTATTTTTACCAATGAGTTATACATTAATTTTTCAGGATTCCCGTACAATTCTACTATTAGCATATAAAGAAATATTAGTATATATTTCTATAGCTATTTCATAAGCTTTCTTTGTAAAATAAACACTGTTTTCAATGGACCAATATTAATTAATCTCGAGGATTTCATCAAACAAAATTTTGGTGTTTATTTGAATTTATTTCTGGGAAACAGTATAATTCCATCAAATATTTTTCTTCCAGAATTCAAGTTCAAACAATTATTGAGCACATGTATTCACTTATTTGAATGAGATAAAAGAATGAATAAAAAACAGTATCTGAGAAAGTGCCAGGAAGGGTGTCAGCAGATCACAACAGTAGGGAAGGAGAAGCAGGTGAGAATAGCCATTCCTGAAGAACTGAGAAGTTCAATCTTACCCTCTGAAGTCAAAGCCTAAGCCAGTTGTCACCAAGTGGATGTGTACTCATAGTGACCCATGTGCCGAGGAAAACTACTCATTGTGGTTTTCATAAGTGGATCTCTGGCTTTTCCTCGAAGGTGCCTCTGATTGGATTCAAACAGCTAACCTTGCAGTTAGTAAGCAATTAACCACCCAGGGACGCCTTACCTTTGGAGAGAGAACCTCCAAAAAACAAAATCAAACTAGTGAGTTTTCCTTGAAGGAACCTAAAAACAACAACAAAAATGCAATTGTACGGAATCAGCTGGAACTATAAGCAGGACTAACCATGAAGTAATAACAGAGTAATTAGAGAAATTGATCATAGTATTGATACTCCTTGCTCTTCATAAAGTACCTAGTGTATTTTTCTAAAACAATAGAATGTATTGGAAGAACATGTGTATTGAACCTGGGGAAATTTCTGGAATTCCAAGATTTAAGAAACTCATAAATACTTCCAAGCAACAAAAACAATGCTTTCCAATGAAAAAGTCAGAATTGGCATGAGATCACCATCAGCAATATGAAGCAAAAAAAAGTTAATAAAGTTATTTACATAAAGCTTTGAAGGAAAATTTGAAGTTAGGATTCTATATTTAGATCGAAGACTATATCAAGACTGAAAACAATATAAAAAGTACTGAAAATTTACTATTAATTAAAAATGACAAAAGTACAAACACTCCTATAAGCATTAAAAGAAATGAATAAACACAAAGTCATAACACTGGAATTTAATATATTTCTTTCAAGACTCATTGTTCCAAGTACTTCAAATAGACCAACAAAAAAAAATCAAAGTGAAATTTAAAATATGAACCATGTAATTAATAAGCTTGAATAAAGAGAAAAACATTGAACTCTGTAGCGATACAATCAAACCTGGACAATATCAGAGGGCATTTTAAAATAACCAGATAAACAATACTAAAAACTTCTGAAACCCCAGATTTGGCAGCAAAGATCATATCAAAGATAAATGCAAAAAATTAAAAATCAACAACAAAACTAAGACTCCACATCGCTCTTTCAATAATTTTCAATTTTCATGTTCTAAAACTTATACTGTAAGATATGTCAGCTTAAAGTTTCTGTGTTAAGTCGAGATTGAAACAAATTCACAGACACTCATACGTGTACAAGAAAGAGCTTTATATAAAAGAGCAATTGTACATTGAGAAAATATCCCAGCCCAGATCAAGTCCATAAGTCCGATATTAGCCCATATGTCCGATACCAATCTATAAATTCCTCTTCAAACTCACGCAACACATGCAATGACACCAAATGCAGGAAGATCAAAGGCCAGTCGGTGGAAAGTCCTGTGGATCCAGTGGTGGTGTAAGCATCTCAGTGCTAGCAGGGGTCTCAATGTGGCTCCTCCAGATCAAGGACTCTAGAGTAGCTCCATGTGTCTTGTCAACAGGAATGTCTCACAGGGAGTGAGTGTGTGTCCCACCTCCAGTGAGCTATATATCTCCTTAGTGCCTCCAAATGAGGTCATCAAGCTGCAACCTGATTGACAGGCTAAACTCCACCCCTTCACTCTTAGTAGTCTCAAGTTGACACCAGATTATGTAACTACCACAGTTTCTAGATGCCTTTGCAATGCCAGTTTCATGAATATTTCTAGTTTACCTTTTTTGCTGCACAAGAAGGGGGTTCCTTTTTCATGCTTCTTAGTAGAAATGCTGGCATATTATTTTCAATGTCCTCACGAGTTCCCTTTTTATGCAAAACTGCAGCGAGAAATGAAATCACCTGGGAGAGCAGGTGGAAGGAAACAAAGTTATTTTCAATCATTGTATGTAATGTATCAAGAAAGACAAAATTCCACTGTCTATGTGACTCACACTCATCTAGTGAGGATTATAGATTGTACACATTGATTTGGTAGGGAAACAGAAACAAATATACTAGGATTGTATTTCCTCATTTATCTTAATAAATGTGAAATATACATGTTACTACTAATAAGGAATTTTACTGCTTGCATGATGTATTCTACCTGATCAATTAATTATCTTTCTCCCACTATTTGGGATATTACCTCCTTATTCAGTCCTCTCCATAGAAACTATCTCTTCACAGCCTCTATTAGAATAAACTATACACATTTTTTTCCTTGAAGAAATAAGCTCCATAGAGAAGGAATATTTGGTTCAGTTTGTGTACAATTTGTATACATTAAAGTATAGATAGAATAAAAGAATACTAGTTTTATGATAGATGGATATAATCCATGAATAGATTCAACATTGTGAATAATCTAGTGAGAAAGATGGACAGAAAGAAGAAACATAATCTCACATAATGAAGAGCAAGGAATTTTGAATCAGTTGAATCTTGGTTCAAATGTAAGCTCTGGTTGCTTGGTAGCTAATACTTGTCCACACGATGCCTCAAAGAAAACCACTGTAAACCTCTGTAAACCTGAGACAGAACAGTACTTAAAGGTAGCCAGAGTTGATGAGAAGAATCATGTCAGTACTCTCAGCATCAGTTCGGGGGTTGGCAGATAAAGTGAACACTGAATCAAGAAAACTGATAGTACAGAGCATCCTCAACCTACTTCCTAGCCCAGCCAGCATGGTGCTCCTGGGGTAGGGAGCACGGGGTTGGAGAACACAGGTGAGTCCGAGGTACTAACTAAAATACTCTGGAATGGAGACAGGTGCATGGTGTGCCTGGTGTGGATTGGAGCATCTGGACAATGAAACGGGGATGGAGAAGGTCTGTGATGCAGGGTGCATGCTGGAATACCCACACAAGGCAAGCTGGTACAAAATGGCACAGTTAGCATCGAGCATACTGGCATTCCCATGCATCGCAGGATAGAGCGGCAGCAAACAGACCTGGGAATGGGTGGGTGAAGAGCACAGCGCAGACTAGCGTCCCCATGAATAATGGTAATGAGAAACATGGTGAGCACTGCCAGGCCTGAGTTCCTGAAGTGTGTGAGGCTACATGACAAGTTGGCAACAGGCGCCACATTGGTGGAAGGCAAGGGGAGGACACCTTCTAGGAGACATCTGCCTATGGGGGCGGACATCTGCCCCTTGGGAGGGAGATTTGTAGTGAGTGTGTGACAGCTACAGCTCTTAGGAGATAGCTGGGACCAGAGGTGCTTAAAGGGTGAGGGGAACATTTGTGGTGAGTAATCAGTGACAGTCAGTAAACTCAAAACGGGGATGGAGGGAGCAGGCACTGAAGGGGTAGAGTAAGAGTCCCTGGGTAGAGGAACTCTATTGCCAAAGTAACCAGATTAAGATCTCCAGCGGATGGAAATGAGGCAATTGGATCAGTAGCACTGCCAGTATATACAGTCAGGAAACCTGCAGTGAAGAAATGAGGAAATAAGAAAAGGATAAGAGGAGGTGTACCTAGAAAGGGAGTCAGGAGCCACAACTTGCAATACATTAAAATACTAATCTAATAAAAAATAAAAACAAACTCTAGGGGAACAGTCATGTCTCCAGAGGTAGCACGGGAGGAATGTCTCTGCTATAGAAATTAATCTGGGACAGAAAGAGTAACCCAAAAGCTTACTGTCCTTTCACAACAAGCAAACACAAAGCCTACGAAGCATAGAACGATGCCTCCTAATCAGCCCCTCGGAGCAAAAAAAAAAAAAAAAAAGACCAAAAGAGTGAAATGAATTACCCCTAAGGAAGAAAAGATGATAGAACTATTAGCTACTTCAAAGCAACAATAGGAAGAATGCTGAAAGGAAAACACAGAAAAAGTTCAAAGCAATCAGGAAAATTATACAAGAACAAGTAAAGAGAAATTTGAAAAAATCAAACAAAGATACTGGAGCTGAGAAGCTAAACAAAAAATGAGGAACTCTCTGTAGACACGGGGATTGGACAAAGCTTAAGGCATATGCAGCCTTTACCGTTTTGAAAAACAACTCACTGCCATTGAGTCCATTCTGAATTAGCGACACAGCACAGAGCAGAGCTGTCCCTATGGGCTTCCAAGACTAACTCTTCACGAGAGGAGAAACCTCGTCTTTCTCTAACCTTGTATTCCCCTAATCTTGCAGTTAGCAACCCAGCGCACATAGCCCATTATGCCACCAAGGCTCCTTGGGATACTATTAAAAGAATAATACACACATATGGAATTCCCAAGAGGAGAAGAGAGAAAAGGAAGAGAAAGAAGACTGGAAGAAATAATGACCCCAAAATTTCCAATACAGGGCAATTTAATGAGCCCCAGGTTAGTTAAATCCAAACAGGACTACACCAAGGCATATTGTAATCAAACACAGAACCAAGGATAAAGAGGGGTCTGGAGAGCAGCACAACGGAAGGGAAATATCACATACCAAACTTGAATGAGATTGAGTGTTGCTATATCCTCAGAACCTACGTGCTGGACCAGGGTTTCATTCATGTTCTATGTGTGCTTGGGATAATGCTTTAGAGCAGAGACAAAGTGAAATGAGCTTTAACAGTGAGCACTTGTGTCCTGTTGTCAGCCAACCAGCCAGTCCCATCTCAGAACAGATCTTCCAACCACACCCTCCTGCCAGAATCAAAGGAGATTCTACAACTTCCCAACCAAGAATAGATAAAGAAGTGGAGTTAGCCAAATGTTATATGGTAAACATGCATGCACAGAATTGGGAATACGTTTCTCTGCTACAGAAAATACACTTGGAAAGAGAGAGCAGCCCAGTTCCTGACCTCTCAATCAGAGAATGTTCTAGGTCCAAGGCTAGGCTTAGGCAATCCAAATGAACATACAAAGGCCAACCATGGCCAATACCATGAAGATGAAAAGGCATTGGGGGAAGACATTCCAAGTACTGCCCAAAGAGAGCTGTCAGTCAAGAACATTATATGCAGCAAAGCTGTCATTCAATACAAGGGTGAAATTAAGACATTCTCTGATAAATGAAAGCTAAAAGAATCTGTTACTACCAGACGAGCCCTACAAGAAATGCTAAGGACTGTACTTCAAAAAGAAAGACACCAAACAGCAACTTGGAGATCTACAAGGAAAAACAAAAACAACTTCATTAAGGTAATTTCTTTACACATATAAAGGTCAGATTTAAGGCATTTTTTCTTGTTGTTGTTAGCAAATTCAGCTGGCATATCCTTTGTGCTTAATAATAAAATTAAAAGTATTCTTAAAATAAATTTAAATTATAGCTATCTGCAATATAAAGATTTTTAACAATAGCACAAAGTTCATTCAAAGGCCAAAGGGAGTCTTCAACAAAGGGTGTTGGGGAAACTGGATACATACAGAAAAAAAAACAAAAAAGAAGGCAAGGAAGCCATCATTCAATAAACAAACACACACACACACACACAAATTCAAAATGAATCAAGGATTCAAATAGGAATGCTGGAACCATAAAATTCTTAAAGAAAGCAGAGGTGCAATGCAAGAATACTTTGTTCTATTAAACTGGCATTCCATGTTGTTCACCTTCCCGACACAATCACTGAAGACAAAGCAGGTACATAAGCAAATGTGGTGAAGAAAGCTGATGGTGCCCGGCTATCAAAAGACATAGCGTCTGGGGTCTTAAAAGCTTGAAGGTAAACAAGCGGCCATCTAGCTCAGAAGCAACAAAGCCCACATGGAAGAAGCACACCAGCCTGTGAGATCAAGAGGTGCCAAAGGGATCAGGTATCAGGCATCAAAGAACAAAAAATCATATCCTTGTGAATAAGGGGGGAGAACAGAGTGGGGACCCAAAGCCCATCTGTAGACAACTGGACATCCCTTTAATGGAAGGGTCACAGGGAAGAGACGAGCCAGTCATGGTGAAGGTAGCAATGATGAAATATACAACTTTCTTCTAGTTCCTAGATGTTTCTTCCCCCTCCACTATTCTGATCCCAATTCTACCTTAGAAATCTGGCTAGACCAGAGGATGTACACTGGTACAGATAGGAACTGGAAACACAGAGAATCCAGGACGGATGAATCCTTCAGGACCAGTGGTGAGAGTGGTGATACCGGGAGGGTGGAGGGCAGGGGGGACAGAAAGGGGGAACCGATTACAGGGATCTACATATAACTTCCTCTCTGGGGGACGGACAACAGAAAAGTGGGTGAAGGGAGACGTCGGACAGTGCAAGATATGACAAAACAATAATTTATGAATCATCAAGGGTTCATGAGGGAGTGGGGAGAGGGAAAAATTGAGGAGCTGATGCCAGGGGCTTACGTGGAGAGCAAGTGTTTTGAGAATGAGGAGGGTAACAAATGTACAAATGTGCTTTACACAATTGATGTATGTATGGATTGTGAAAAGAGTTGTATAGGCCTAAATAAAATGATTTTTTAAAAAAAGCAAAGGTGTGGTTTTTGCCTAATTTTTAACTATGGCTTATCAGATATGACAATAAAAGCACACATATCAAAAGACAGAATAGGGACTAATAAAAATAAATACTTTAGCTCAACAATAGAGTTTATGAATTATGGTAAAATGAGGGACTGGATGAGAATAAAATGCAGCAAATTCATCCATGTTCATAATTACAGGTTTGGAAAGCTGGCTCCAGGGGAGGATGACCCTCATGGTAGGAGATATAAATAAATCTTAATATACATTCTCATGATGATAGCACCCATAAAGGAACTGTCATAAAGAAGCTCCATGTAGGATGAATCATTCCTGCATCAGGCTATTCTCCGAGTCTGGAGGTTATTTGTAGATAAGAGCAATCAGGTTCTATAGCCAACCCACAAAAGGTAGCAAACCCCTCGGGAGGGTTCAGGGGCATTCA